AGCCTATCCCAGCAAGCAACAAGCAACAAGCAGGATACAATCTGGACAGTACACCAGTCCATCGCAGAACGGACACACAGACACAAACACACACTCACTCACACCAGGGCCAATTTTCCCAGAAGCCAATTAACCAACCAGTGTATTTTTGGACTGTGGAAGGAAACTGAAGCACTGGAAGAAACCCACACAAACACAGGGAGAACATACAACCTCTTGAATTGAACCCAAGGCCCCAGAGCTGCAATGCAGGAATGCTAATCACTGTGCCACACTCATAGGGGATATAATTTAGATTAAAACCGTACAGCCAACAGTTTAGTAGCCATTATACAGTTTGTTTGCTTGAGAAATTTGTTTTATGTTCCTTGATCAGGTATACAGCCAAACTGGCCATTAGAACTCACAGTGGTCTTTTCTGTAGTCTCGAGCCCCTGCCTTAAAACCGCACTGCCAGACACTTAATGCAATTGCTGATGTCAAAGAACATTGAGTAAAGTGAAGAGGTCAAAATGAAAAATATTTGCCAGCTATAATCTGACAAAAAATACATCATTTTATCCTTATGTTCAAGTGCTTCTTCAAGATTTATGGTCAAGACCTCTACAAGACACTTCTACTCAAATGTTTCCAATTGTGTATAAGCCTTAGTTGTGAGCAAAAGGCTAAGTATTGATTCATTTTGGAAGTAGATGTGGGTGTGTCTGATAGTTGGAGGACAGGTGAGGTGCTTTTGATAGGGTCCTTTCGGGGTGCAGGGGATGTAGGGGGCGGTTGGAAAGGTTGGGCAGCAAGATGCTCTCAATGGGGTTTTGATTTTCATGTTGTTCTGTTCCCTACTGTTTTGAGTTCTTAAAAGTACAATAAAACTAATTACCGACATAGCGGTAAAAAGATAAGACCCAATTTCAAGAAATAGAAATCTGATAGGAATGCCAGGGAAATCATTAGAAATTCTTAATGTGTAATTTGTCAAAAGCCTGCCTTTTAAATGATTAAAAGTTTTAATTGGAGGATTCATTCCAGGACATGAATCTGACTGCCATGTTTTCATTCAACACAATTTAACCATTCGTAACATCTAAGGACCATGCGTCCCTAAAACAAAATAACTTAATTATAACCCAAGTAGATTCCAGGAATAGCAAGTACAGTTTTGCGGTACGAATCACATCAATTGCTTGAAAGTATTTAATACTTTTATTGCTCGGGTCCTCAAGAGGGAGATGGAGTTAAAAGTTTTGGTAGACTCCACCCTGACACATAAACCCAAGTCACGCCGGAAAGACCGAAGAAAATCCAGGAGCCACACGAAATGTGTTTTCATGCCTTGAGGCAGAATCTTTTTTTCAGTTAAGAGTCTTCCCTGACAGCTTTAATTAAGCTAGTATGAACAAGGCCAGGCAGACATCACAAACAAATCTGGTGTCCCTCGATATTAATCATTACACTGCAGGACTCCATTTAAACCTGTCAGGAAAAGGGCAGAAAGTAATAGCAAGGCCAGCCCATTTCTTTTTGTATACTTCAAGAAAGAGAACGATGACGAAAACAATGTATGACGGCATCTATTCCCATTTTGTGGTATTCTGAAGACTGTTGCCCAAGAACTTTGATTTTGTTATTTTTGTAAAATAGATTTATCCCATAATATCGGTGCTTCAACTAGTTTCATCCTTTGCTGGTTGTTTAATCTAGCTGCTTACATATACAGGTATTTAACTTCAGATACAGGGATTCAAATGGAGATTGTGACATTTTGTTGGTAAAATTCAAGGGATGGATTAGTGTGTGTGTAAGATGGGTAGGTCAAAGTTTGTCACGAGCTTAATTAGATCACAGATCTTGTCCTGGCTTCCACAATATGAAGTACATTTAATGGAATCAAGTATGATGTGCTTGCATCTTCTCCATTTCTTATTAGTATTTTAACACACTTATAGGGACCTTGCTTTATTATGGCAAGGTACAGTACAAAGTCTACTGTTAGAAAATAATTGGGCCCGGCTTATCCTTCCTCGGTAAAGACAGAGGCTCTTTTCTGTTTCATCACTATTGCCATATAGCATAAACATCCCACTGTTTATTTTCCAGAATAAGCTGTCAGTTTGGCAAACAGAATTCTCAGCAGCACAGCACACGCAACAAAATATTAAAGGAGAAAATGTAGGGCAGGGACTTCAAACTCATTTCCTGGAGGAGCTTGTGTCTTGTTTTTTGTTACTACCTGAGTACAGTTAAACAACTGACCTAATTCTTTTCTAAAATTGGGATTCCTGAGATTGTTCTGTTGGTATTTTAGAGTCGATTACACAAAATATTAACTTAAATGTACATTAACCTATAAATCACCACAGCGTCTGGTTAGAAGTACTCCAATCATGTAGCTAATTAAATAATGACACTAACTACATAACTGAGAACATGGGTAGGAGGGACAAAATCCAGCGATATAAAAGTCCACTGATATAAGTTGTCTGCAAACTAGCCCTTTCAATAATTCTGAACTGCCTTCTATAATACAAAGCACAGCTCAATGCACACAATGACTGTAAGACTGAGAAGTCTTACTGAAGGCCTGCATTCCCTAGAGGGTTTAAACAATAAACCAGAACAATAAAAGATCAACTCTAGAAATCAAATACCTGTGGAGACTGAAGGAAAGATTTTGTGTCTGATCATGTCCATTCAGAGTTTTCTTAAGCACAATGTAAAATAACTTAATTTAATATTTTATGTAAGTGTTCATAAAGATTCCATAACATTTTAATAGAAATTTTAGGATCACCCTACTAACACCCCAATTGAAACCAGCAAATTCCGATACAGTAATTCTAATTAATACTAACATTTCAGCACGTCCTGCAAGGTCACAGATTCTAAACACCTCTTCTGCAAATCAGAACGTCTTGTGACTTTGATTTAAAGGAGTTTAATGTGTTTCCTTGCCCCACCTTGTCTTCCAACTTGGCAATGACTAGTTGCACTGCCATGTACCAGTCAGTTGCAGGTACAGCAAAGAAGAGCATTGAAGATTTTTGCTGCTTTGAATGTAGCTGTAGAAGCTGAGTTTTAAGTTATTCATAAAAGAAGCTTGTGAGGTGCTAGGGATACAGGAATGTGCGTTTGTTCATGCACACTACAGAGTATTTAAGTCTACAGGACTGTTTCACATCAGGATATGTTCCAAACTTAATAATCATCCATTCATACTTAACTGCTTCATCCAATTTTGGGATGTGGTAGAGCCAGAGTCTATTCCAGATGCAAAGCAGGGTACACTCTGGACAGGATGCCACTCCATTGCAGACATAATAATCTTAAAAATAAAATTTAGCTAAAATAGAACTGGGTACGTTTTCCAACAGTAAAGCATCTGACAAATTCAATTAAATTACCATCATCACTCTTCCCTTAAGCTCAGCTGTTGCATTCAGGAGCCTACCTTGCTACATAATTCCTGTTGATGTACTCTCACTTTAGTCAAGGCAATTTTCAGAAGCCTCGTGTAAAACAAAAAGAGTCTTCTCTACTGGCTTTCAAATGTGTTTTTGAACAGGCCAAATAAACAGAAGCAAAATGGAAGCACACTCCTTTCTAACAGAATTCCCTGCTACAAGTGCACCATCTAGGTGAATTTCACAGGTACCACAACTAGGATTTACTGGATTTGCACTGTAAACATTTTCTCTAGTTAAAAATACCCTTTTCATGGAGTCCTCTTTTATGGAAATTAATCACAATGGTTTTCCTAGGTCTCCAAGATCTATATGTTGAATATTAAAAGAGGCTTCACTTTGAAGATTCACAAAGTTATCTGCACAGCCATTTTATTTAACATAACTGTAGATTCATTATGCTGATTAACATCCGTCATTAACCTGGTTTATATACAGGGGGATCTACTGTGTAAGTCACAGGCTAGTAGCAAACGTGGCTACCATTGGAAGCAATCCTTACTACTGTGCATGCTTGTACATTTGTGACATGTTGCTCCGCACCAGGTTGCAGATGCTGTCTCTTGGTATTCTGATTCATTCCTCTGAAAGGTCTTCCAGTCCTAGACGTTACACATCATCCTAGTACATCTTAGAAAAGTTCAACGGGGCACACTGAAAAGTATAGCATCCACAACTCACATTCTCATTTAACATGAAAGATATTACATGATTTCAGTGCTGAAACTGATCGTCCAGCTGCAAGTCGCATCATGTCAGAATGAGCCCTCAGGAAAGGGGAGCAAGTGAGGCCCATGCCTATATCAAGATATCCTTCAGATAGGACTACAGGTGCATCACAGGTCTAACCAGACCATCACTTTTCAACAATCAATTAGTCTGATTTCTATACACAGTGCCCTAATTGTTGACATTCACAAAACATCAATCCCTAAAAACGAAAAGGCTTCATAATGGAAGACATTTGAACCGTAGCTCCAACATACCAGTGGCACATAGAAGTCATTCTCTTGATAAGTGGTCAACAGTTGTTCCTTTCTGTGTTTATTACTGATCTTCACCAAGCTTGAAAGGCTTAACAGATTAAATCATCTACATGTTTACCCTAGCTGTTCATTTACCGAAGAGGCGATTTAGAGTTTCTGCAAAAAGCTAACTGAAGTATATCATGAACATATAGTATATCATGAACACATACAGGCATGAACAATCAATTGATACAAAGCTCATAATCAATATCTGAAACCTACAGTATACATATTGTCTGAAAAGATTCATAGAGGAGTGAGTTTTTATTGATGCACAGTATATTGTAGCACTTGTCTATAGAGTATATATGGCAAAATAATACATTTGCGTCCAAAAAAGTCACTCACTGTTAGTGATTTCTTAGCCAATAGTTTAAAAAAAAAGATCTTCATCTTGACCGACAGCAAACGTGAATGTGGAGTTGCAAGTATGAATCTTTTATTTATACTAGGTAATTTTGCTACGCGAAGCAAGCTACATAGAATTTACCAACAAACTCAAAAATACAGGAGACATCTTTGAGAAATTTTTATTCACTTTATAGTAAAAATATTTTAGATACATTCTGTACAAGGCCTGTTTAAAGATCTCTAAAGACGTAGCTCTTTTTAATTACAATTAAACTCACACAATTAAAAAAACACCCAAAAAGCAAAGGGACAAATCAAACAAATGAATCAAGATCTTCCACTACTCTTTCTGACAAACCCTTCACTGGAGAAGATGGTGTTCTGCAATTTTGAAGAGTTTAATCCTAAAAGGAGGCCTGTATATTAATTATAATTCCAGCCACCGGATTTCCACATGTGACTAAAGGTCAATTGCGATAAGAAATAAAACCTTATTCTCACACTTCACATCCCAGCTGACATCTAGGGCCAGTGTTTCCAGAAATAAAATAAATCCACTTTCAAAACTGCTAAAAAGTTCAGAAAACATTTTTTGGACATTTTATTCAACACTCTGTTAATAATAAATCCAATTAATTGTGGGAGAAATTATAATCATGTAATCTATGAGAAAAGCAGTTTAGTTTTTGTACTCTGACACTGTGATCAAAAAGGGAAATACAGTTTGCAATATCAAGCCACAAACTATTTACTAAAGCTGAATTAGTAACTCAAAGCAGTTCAAATAATTATCAAAAAGGCAAGATGTTAAGTCTCCTCAATGCAGTGTTTATGAAATATTTTCTATGTGTACAACTTTAGTAGCACATAAGAAAACATTTTAATCTGTCCCCTCTGCTAGCTCTTCAGGCTGCCCTATGCCTTTATCACAATAGAAGTAAAGGAGCTCAGAAAAGTTGCAATTCTTTATCAGTGACAGTGAAAGGTCTGAATAAGCAGTAAGATTTCATCAGCGACAAACATAAGGTCAGTAAAATCAGTTACTGGTTGAATTGGCCAAAAATAATAATTTTTGTGTCAGAAATCAGTTGAATAGTTTACTTTTGAGATACGTATTCAACATGTTTTACAAAATGACAAGCAAATCCTGGTATTTCAGAAATGAATCATTAAAAAAAACATTCATTTCTGATAAGCAACAGCACTAACAATTTACGTCAGCACTGTTTTTAGATTTTACAAGAAGCTTCCTTGAGCTGATGGCATATTAAAATAATAACTTGGATTTGTACAATTCTCTGAGGGGATCAGACAATTCACAGAAAAGTGAAGTAAAAAATGATTTTTAAATATTTTAATACGTATACCAAAGAAACATGATTTTGAACTACCTGCATTTCCCCTAGTACCTGTACTAGTGACAAAGATAAACAGACAGGGAAAGAGATAAAAACTATATATTCTATGACCACATTCTGAAAGTGAAGCTTACATGGAAAGCCCTGTTGCTTCAAAATATTCAGAGGTATGATTTATGAACATTACACACGGTAAGAAACATCAACCACAAGCAAGCAATGTGGACCTATGTAGTCAGAAATCTGACTTCACAGATGCTCCCAGCTAAGCCTTGGAACAGAATGCTCAAGAGTGGAAGCAAGTCAGACTGCAGAAGAAATAGGAATTCAGACAGTATCATTACAGATACAGAAAGGGAAAGGGAGTTTTCCATTATTTGCTAGTTTCTCAGCCTTAATCTAAATACCCTGTATTTCATTTTATGTCCATTTTCAAAGAGGAAAGAGAGTGCCAGATGGGATGACCGCTATAATTTTAGCTGCAGGTCCAACTAGGAAGTACAAGCAATCTCTTCCACTGTGTCAGAACGGGACCCTCACAGCTAGGCTGCAGCAGAAAGGGTAGCACTGCCACTCAGCCCCAACATAGTTGGGCAGGGATTGTGACAAACCTACTGGCAATATATTATTTTTAGAAAAGGTAACATTTCAGCCTCCTCTCATTACAAACAGAAATGTATCAGGAAAAAAAAATTTCAGTGCGGAGCTGCAGTGAAATACTTTCTACAATAGTTCTCATGGAATAAGAACAGTCCACAAAATACTGAAAAAAGTGTAAAATAATTTATGTGAAAAAACAAAGCTTACGTTCTTCGGGGACTTATTTTTCTTAAGCATCAACACCACTTATGACTTTATACAAAACTATTATCTTTCTTTTTAAGAAACTCTAACAAAATATTCCAACCTGTTTTCTCCCTAGATGCAGAGTCCCCTCTAGCTTTAGCCCCTGATCCTCTTTCATCCTCTTATGGGTCCTTTGGTCTGGGAGACTCCTGGAGTCTGTGTGGAAATGCTTATGACACCTCAGACGTCTCAGACGTCTCATCTCAGACGAACCTGTCTTGCCCCCGTTTCCTTTTGCACTTTTATTTCGGTTACCATTTTTGCCATGCTCCACAGACATTTCCCAGGACTTTGTTCTTGGAATCCAGCAGTGACCTTCCCTGTGACGTCTTCATTCGTTAAGAGATAAGATAATATCGTCTTCCAAGTCTGAGTAATCCGAGCTGTCCGCTGGAGAAAAGGGAAGGGAGGAAGCAAAAAAAAAAAGTTTGAAAATGTAGAAAAAATAAGTGAAAGTGGAACACAGAAGATCACAAGCTTTCTATTGCCTGTGGCCAATCCTTAGATTTGATGTCTAGTGGTCCACTCTTGACAGTTCTCTACAAAAATGCTAGAAATTCTTTCTCAGATACCAAAGCACAACCTATAATCCCAAAACAGCCCAAGGGCAAATTTTATTGATGTAATCCACACAACACATATTTCTTATCTTGTACGTACCTGAGCTGCTATAAAAAAAAAACTACCGTTAGTAAATATTATCAATTCGTCATGTATAGTTGAACATCATTAGAAATCGATTTGATTTACTCAGATGGATCTAATAGTTCCATTTTTAATGAAGTTTTCATCTAGAGTGCTTTGCCTTTTGGGGCCCCACATAAACACATTCAGTTGACGTTGGTTCAGTGTAATTGGTGTTGTACCATGAACCACAGCTAATAAATTTAAAAATCCTTACATTTAAAAATGGTAAATTATTGGCAGGGCTTGGATACCTGATGTAATTTTCAAAGGTCAACTGAAATATTTACCCACAGACACAAATGTTTTAGTGATTATGATAATTTTCTCAGTTAAGAAAAACTTGTTTTCATAACTTCATAACTTCAGTTTAAAAGGGAAATAGTCATTAGATTCAGTGAAACGTTTTAAGGATTTACTGCAATAGCCTTTATGCTGGACACATGCAGTACATCCTTCTTGAGTGCCCATAAACAAGTTATCTAGAACCAGCTGAACTGTCTCATCACTGTTCTGTCCAGTAAGAATTTTAAGCAAAAAAATCTCAGATTTCTCTTTTCTTCCAAACTCTGAAGATAACCATCATCATCCCAGTCTTGTTCGTTCCTAAACACCACACAGATAAAGAGTGAACAAGTATTAAGTACCAATACTGTATACACTGCAAAGCTAATCTATTTCACTGCTGTAAGCGCTGTAGAATAATCTGAATTGACAAAGCAGAAAAACAATATTGAAGATTTTCATTTATGAGATCTCTCAATACAAATTTACTCAAACAAGGTAACAGGTCTGAACTGCTCAGTTAATGGTTTTTATTAAGACCTGCCAGTAAAATCTGAAATGGTTTTACAAAAAGCTACATGATCGTCTTGATGTAATGGCTTATTTGTTCTAAAGCCTGAGGTTTTCTGGGACCTAATATGAACCATATTTTAACCATATTTCACAGTATCTGACAATGAAGTGAAAAGAAAAAATTGTAATTCGGTGCCGCTGATCCACCTTGAAATAAGTTATTTAAAAATGTGTACCTCAGTACTTGCGAGTAATGTCTTTGCGAAGGAATCATTCTAGAAGGCCATAAGAAAGCAGTCTAAATTCTAAAAGATAAAGGCTACCATCATATACCAAAGACCAAAGCAACCAACAAAAGCTGCAGGTAACTTTCTTCCCTGAACTCTGGTACTCACAATTCTCCAAGATTAGCTCCACGTCATCCTCATTATCATCTGAGTCATCATCATCTTCATCCTCCTCACCATCCTCCCCATCTTCCCCCAGCATGCGCGTCACCTCCTCATCATCAGAAGGAGACAAGTCCTGCTCTCCATCTTCCTCCTCTTCCTCCTCACCACCATTTTCATTCTCCAGTTCTGCTAGGAGAGGGTCTGTATCCATGTCATCCAGATCATCATCAGAGTCTTCATCGTCGTCATCATCATCCTCCTGGTCCTCATCTTCCTGTTAAATACAACAAACACTCTCAGACAGAGGGTCATCATTTCTCTTGTTACACAGGTTTTGTATGTTGATCCATAAAGTGTGGACCTTTAATTTGTCTTGTTCCCCAACAAAGCCACATTCAATATCAGGTTGAGTCTAAAGTCTCCAATAGTTTTTCAAATTTTAATTTAATATGGAATATACACTTGCATTTACTTTACTAAAACTGACTTTCTGTTATGTTGTATCAAGGTCAATTTGCTATTGCTAAAAAATAAACTGATGATGGGAATGCTTACCTGATCTTCCTCGTCCTCCTCTTCCTCAGCCAGCCGTTGCCTTCCCACCTCATAGAGCCGACAGACAGTGTCCATGTTCATGGAATCCTGATTCTGCACAGCACAAAACCATGTCTTGGTGGTAAATCTTTGATGCGATGCTAAATTCTTTTTTGCATCTGCAAATGTTGTGTGCATAGAGGAAGCACCCTGGCTGAATCAGGAAAAGTGTGAGGTGCTGAAAACTTATCCTTTGCAACAGCTGGGAAGCTCCAGCCAGAAACAAGCACTTTAGTAACATAATAACATGTAAATTATTTCAGTTTAATAGAAAATGAATTAACTGGTTGCAGGAAAGGTAGCCCAGGTCTGAACACAAACATATGCTTTCTACCTGTAGTGTGTAATAACATGACCTTCCAAAGTGCAGAGGAGGGATGCTTCATTTTCTAGCTATAGTAATTTCCAGATGAACAAGGTAACATATATGACTGTTTTACAACAATTTAATTTCATTACTATCCAGCAACAGAATTAAAAAGAGAAAGAGATCATTACTGTGGACCGTTATTTAACAGTCCAGTACAAATGAATGTGGAGGTAACAATGTACATATGCCTTTTCTTCCTGCAGATACTTTGAAAAGTCGCTTGTTTATAAATTGCAAGACAATATTGGTTCAACATTATATTTACAGACTATATAATACTTACCTCAATAACAGCCAAATAGCAATCTTTGGTGTCAGTACACAGGTCAAAAATATTTCTCTTCACATCAATTGTTGCTAAAGAAAATTGAGAACAAAAATAAGTTTGAAAAAGTCACTATTATTCCTTTACAACCTCACTTTTGATATTATTGGTCATAAGCTAATAAACTGAAGTGACTAATATAGAGGAATTCTAAACATGAAAAAAACACAGCAGTTCTTCCTCTAGACCAAGTTCCATTTTTATTAAAAGATTACCGATGGGTTTGTAGTCTGTGGCATCAAACGTCCTGAAGGAAGACCCAAAGGGACTTTTCATTTGTTGTTCCATCATGTCGTCCTCATCATCTGCCTGCAGCATTGCTGAGTTCACAAGAACAATAATTGGATAATGTTAAATACAGTTGGATGAATATAAATTCAGTTTCATCACACTCTTTCATAAACAGGGTGAATGTTAATGGTACACTTTCCTGTACAAAATGATCTCCTACTGAGACAAACTATAATTCAATACCAGGGTGAGTCTATAGTCTCCGAGGACAAATGGTAAAGTACAGTTCACACCAGAGTCACACTGGCTCAACAGACCAGTTTATCCTCATTTCCAGAGCAATAAGCGGTCTATAGAGTGACACACAAAGTGCTTCGCTCAAGGTACAACAGATGTGTCTTTGATGGTGACTTAAACTCACAACCTCTCAGCCCAGAAGCTAGAAACTGTTTCTCTCAAACAGGTTTTTACTTTTCATTACTCTTACCTTTATGTCTCCATCACCGGCACCTGAAAACCAGAACCTTTTAAAATTGAATTATTTCTATTACACAAACCAGGCAAATAAATGTAGGCCAGTTTTGGGTTTTTTTCTGATAGATGGACACCTATAAAAAAACGCTGTGCTCTTTGCACTGTGCAAAACAATGCAGGAAAGCACACCTGCAAAAGTGTGAAAGTTTAAGTTTAAAACTCACCTCCATAGATAACTGTGCCACTGTTATTGAAGACAATTCTGCACTGGTCTAGTGCAGGGACTGTGTGTAGAAGATGGAAGGTTCTCAGGTCCCACTGAGACAACAGTTAAGGATAATACAGTGTCTGAATTAACTACTAATACTTACCTAATGCTTTAAAAGAATTGAATTCAAGCATTAAAGTAGCAGCATTTTAAGGTTCTTGAAAAAGTCTGTGATCTTAATATTTCTTTCTGCTCTACAGTTCACCATTTCATGATTGACCACCATAAGTAATTTCAAAACTGTGTCTAATTATAATTCGAATCAAAATTTAAAACTACCGTCAGCATAAAAAGTGAAAGGTAAAACACTAAGAAAAAGATACAATTTCAGTGTTCACAATGACCTCTAGTCCATTGGGATGGAAGACTCCACTGATGTTCATGTTGAATTTGTCGAACTTATGGATAGCCTGTGCAGATCGCACATCCCATAAAACCCCATCATTTAACACCAGGTCATCCGTAGGATTGAAAGTTGCACAGTTCCTCTTATAGTTATTGGCAAGATCTGTATTGTGCAAAGTGAGGATTTTCTGACCAGACTGGATGTCGTAGATCTAAAAATAGTATCACAAAAATTATCCCAAAAGCTGGTTAAACCAATTGATATTGCAAATATCCCTATACATATGCAGCAAAAAAGTTATCTTATTGTTTTAAAAAAATGCTGTCCATATTACATTTTCATTATTATACAGTTTTTCTATTATAGTGCAATAACGGCAGGCTTTTCAAAAAGCAAAATTCCACAGAATTCAGAAAAAAAGAAGCTGCTTATACAATGGTAATTCATAAAATTCTTATATGGAGTTATGGTGTGCTCTATTTATACAAATGCATGTATGTAATGTATATCAGAATGATGAACATGAATGACTCACATGAGCAATATCTTCCTTAGTGCCAATGACTCGATCTTGAGAAAGTTTACTGAATTCTACATAATGATCATCTAAAAAGGAATGCCTGAAAAGAAGAAGTTAGATTTGATTTCAGAAGTATGCTGCAGTCAATTAATGATGATCAAATAATAATAATTTCATATAGTCTAAGATGTACAGTCTAACCAAGTATTATTAATTAAATTAGCCCTAAGTCCACTTTTGATCGCACAAAAAATAAAAATAGACTGCTTTTTATTCTTTCAGCAGGAGGAGATCTTTTCCTACTGAGGCCTGTTTTTCATTAATTTTTAACACAGATGCTCTGTCAAGTCAATCTTGTTTTAAAAAATTTCTTACACAAAACGATCGACAACACTGAACCTAGCAAAGCGCTAACAGGCCCTGACAATATCCGCTCAAGTGAAGTACTTACTTCATGTCAAAGACCGATTTCATACCCCAGAGAGCAGAGAGAGGATAGGTCCAAGAGGCTGACGTTAGCAACAAAGAGCCGTCCTATGGGACAGAAAAGAGAAGAAATAGATTTTTTTTTCTAAAAGCTCAGAAAAAAACCGACTTGAAGTATTCTAAAAGATAAAGAAGCAAAAAAGGCACTGATAACAAAACCTAGTACAGCTCTTACCCGGGAGGGCTCAAGGTGAGTAATGGCAGAGTTGTGACAGCTGTAGCTGGCTTCCTCCTGGCCATTGAAGACATTGTAGAGCTTTAGCTGGCCAGTGCAAGTCCCAAGCATCAGGAATCGTTCCCGAGCAGAAAACGCACAGCACATGAAGCCACTCTCATCCTCATCCGCTTCCCGGAACACCGAGATCGGACGGAATCTGGCATTGTAGGAGAAGCACATTAGCATCACATACTATACAAAAGGACACGAGGGCTCTTGCTTAATGACTTGCCTGAAGTGTGTTTAGATGCCATATTACATCACAACTTTAACTGTAAATGCAATGAATCAAACTCAGTTTATTTATATTTTGATAAAAATGGAAATCTGGAACTGCTAATTATTTTGTTTTTATATGCTCTCCAAATTTAAGTCTGAAAAGTGTTAAAGCCTTCACTCATTGTACTCATTGCACAGGGGGACCACTCCTCTGACACACCCATGTGAGTGCCATTCATCTTTTTCATTTTAACACACACAGACCCTTACTGGAGAGACTGCCGACTGGAGGAATGGTGCATCTCACTGATGGCACCGCAAACTTGGATGGACCTGGCAACTCACAATCCTCCCCCAAAAGATTTTTACTCCAAAAGCAAAAAAGACCCTGTAGTGACTAATGCCCAATGTAAGCACTGTGTCAGCTGTCTAGCTAGTCTATTTATTATTCTTATTTTATTTTTTATTCCTGGACAAATTTAACAAATCATAATAAAACAAATTATATATTAAAAAAATGCCGATGCCTATGAATCATAGTCTGAATAACGAATACATTTGAAAATGGGAAACAATAAAATGCGGTCCAAATGCATTTACTTTCCTATGAAAATGTTTTGTAAGCATTTTTTTAAAAAAGGCAAAAGGTAATTTCAGTACATTAAGCAGGTCAAGTCATCACAGCAGTTGGAAAAACACAACTCAGCGAGTCAGAAGAACTCGTCTAAGCAGCAAGGTTCACAACTGCTTAGTAAAACCCTTAGAAAGTAGAGGTGTGTATTCTCTGTCTTGACTTCTTAATGTACTTTCACCTGGGATATTAAAACTTCATCAGCAATAAGCAGAACCAAACTGACACATAATCAGGCTTAGATCTTCCTAAGAAACAAATCTAGCAATTAATTTGTGCTGCAGATTTTGTTATTATAATAAAAAACCCTACCGACTGAAAATGAGATGTCTGTCAAAGCAACCTCCATCCACCCCTCCATACTTGGGGTAGACCACCCTGTGAGTGAGGCGGGAGGTGAAATTTGTGGGGGCCTGGCGTCTCTGCTTGGGCTCGGGGCATTGGTGTGGAGTGAAGAGGGAGAAAGGCGGGCAAGTCGTGACAGGGTTCTTGCAGCGGGCATGCTGCTCCCGGAGGTATTCGGTGATAATGCTGTCCAGGGTGGGGGGAGAAGGCAGGTGACGGTCCAGTTGTTTCTTCATGGCTGGACTTTGGCTGTAGGCCCCGTGGTCCGACTTCTGCCGAAGGACCCTCGGTTTCTTGCTGTTGCAAGGGGATGGGCGCTCCCGTGTGAAGACTATACGGCCAATCAGAGGCGAGCCGTTGCTGTGGGGGGCTGCAGCAGGTGGCTGTGTCTGCGAGGTAGAGGGCCGGACTTGGCCGTGGCTCGAGGATGGGGTGGCAGAGATGGAGGAGTGGCTGGCTATACGCGAGGTCACTCCATTAGGCAGACGAGGAGTTCGAGGCAGCACTGCTGGGGAGGAGGCAGGTGCTACCGCTACAGGACTGAAAGCGGAGGAGGAATGAGAGTGTATGGCCATTGGAAGATCAGCCTCTTTGGTCAGGGCAGAGGCAGTGTCATGTAATCCTTTGGTAACAAGGTGGTTCCTAATGAGTAGCAGGAGCTCCTTCTCGGGGAAGGAGATCCGAGACTGTGCCACCACGTTGGCTTTCTGCAGCCTGGCCAGGGAGACATCTGTGCCAATCAACAGCGGCTTCCCTGACACGCGTTCGATGAGCTCGGCAGCATACTTGCAGAACTTGACATGCTCACTGCGCTTGTCCTGCAGCACAGGCTCCTTCATCAACTGCTGGATTTGCCCGCTGCTGAAGAGAGGCAGCTTGCTAATGATCTGCTTCACTGTGCCACTGCGGGACAGCCCAACCAAAGCCTTGCAGGCTAGTGCCCTGATCTGGTCTGCATCAGTGATGGGCATCTTAACAGTAAGGAGAGAGAGAAGGACCTTGATGCCATTGTTAGACTGTACCACATTCCACATCTTGGTGAGAACATTCTCAGTGCACTTGTTGTTTTGTGGCATCCGGCGTCGTGGTGTCCCCGAGATGAACTTGCCGATACTGGAGATCCTCTTATCTGGAGCACATACGCAGTTGATCACCACCTGCAGGGCTGATTTTTGGATTTCTGCATCGTTCACAAACACCTCTCCTTCTGCAACGCCGAGGATTATACTCATACCTGCCAGATAAAAAAAAAATACAGTCCAAACTAAGCTTCTGTTTTTTACAAAATGCCATCAACTTTATCATGCTTGTGATTTGTACCTCCATTTGTTTATATAAAATAGAACTATACACCTACTTGAAACATACTAATTTATATTGTATTGCTTTGGCAGTTGAGTTCCCATTTGGTAGTTTAACTAATTTCAAACAAAATACAATGCACTTTGTTGAGTGAATTATGAATAATAAGGGAAAAATACATAATCACTGCATGCAGACGTGAAATATCTACATACTTAGCTTCTGCACAGATATAATATATTCATCAAACACCTTTGGCACAGTAACCTAAAGCAACACATTCCTTTTGTTCCACCTTTATTACAGAAACAACTATGAACCTGCACAGTGACAGTCTTTTTACTGTAGGAAAGCACCTGACATCAGGTGGCTTACCCCCATGTGTGACACCCCAAAGCTACAGACTAACATATTGATAAAAACATGAACATACTTCAACAGGCTATGCTTAAAATACATCTAATGGAAATGGTATCATCCTGTAGAATTAAAAAATATATGCACACTTTTTCAATACTTTGTATTGTATGGCTGTTGAGTTATCACACACTAGTCATAGTTGTTTGGCAGCCAATCCTGACCAGTGAGCAGTTTCAATTACAAAAAAACCTAACATACAAATAAAATAATAGTTACCTGCAGCCATCACTTATTAGTCTATTGTTTCGACACCTCTAACAGGAGAAACAATATATTAAATATAAATAAATTATTTGTATACAAATTTTATACTCTCTAGATAAAGCAAAACTTTACAATTATGTTACATAATTGTAATTGTGACCTAATTCACCCTTCATATTATGCAAAGAAAAGCTTTGAAACTAATATCTAATATGTAATTTGATTTTATTAATGTTTTAAATCCCGAGGTGGCAAAGAGTTAATGTAAAAGTATTCTTAATCTTTGGTTCATCCGTCTTTATTTTATGCAGCGTTTAGAAATTCAACAAGAACTGCACTGCATCTGAAGTCCAGGCAGCCTCTTTCGGATTTTAAATAATTTACAATCACAGTATAATTTATTCAGTACCAATAGGAACTAAACATCCTTAGATCTAGCCTTGCTTTATTTTTCTTGAAAGCCAGAAACCTCCAATGTAAAGAAAACTTCTGTCTGTAGAACATTCCTTCGATGGAAGAAACGAATGACTTTGGAGTGTACCACGACTGAAAAGATCTATAATGGGGCTCATGAAACTGTGACAGATGGAACCAGTTATCTAAAGTGTAATGTCTTATAACTGTGTAGAAATGTAAATTACAAATGAATAAGCTAGAATAATAAGCTTCTACTAAAAAAAATGCATTTACTATTTTGCCAAAAATGAGTACTGGTTGAAATTAATTTACCTGACTTAAAAATAGTCTTAAAAGTGTCTATGTAAATATCAAAACTCAATGGAACTCAGAATTATCTATCTACTTTTTATTTAATGGAAAAATATTACATGCTGTCAATATATACTGTGAACATTTCTTAGTTTACATATAAAATACATATTTTGAGTATGCATGAGTACTCTTTAAATTACAACTATTCTTTTAAATGTTAAATGAACAAATATTTAGACTTTTAGCCTAATTTATCCAAACTGAAAAGAGAAGACAAGCTATACTTATAGTAAAAAATCATCATTGTAAATATTTAATGTTTTTGCAGCTTATGCAGTTAGAAATGCTGAGGATGGAACAATATTCTCCTGATAAACTAAATAGTGTTAATCAAGGTTTACCACAAGACAACCAAGGTTTTTTAAAATCACTGCATAGTATCTAGGTTATCTGGCAACAAAGAAACACTACCTGCTTAAAAATATAATTGCATTTACCATGTAAACACTTACAGATCTATGTGCACCGTATCAAACTGTAAATCTATATTTTACAAAACAGAAGTACAACCACTTTTCGAAAGCTTACTGAAAGAAGTACATTGAAGAGCATTCGGAAATAGAAAAGTAAAGAATTATCTATCTTCTAGTCTGGAATTTTTACTAAATTGCCCAAGTCAATTTTTTTTAATTGAAAGTTAGCAAAGTAATTGTTTCTTTAACACAACAAATGTTCTAGAAATGTTGCCAGTGTGTGGCAGAATAACATAACAAGAAAGAAAAAGCAGAAAGACAAAGATAACACTGTAAATACTAAATTATGCATATGGCATTGAAAATTACTGTGTAGTAGTTGAAAACTGAAAAGGAAGTGAAATTCTATCCCACAAGGTTATATGATCTGAAGCACTCCTTTCAGGAAAAGTGACTAAAAATAGGGAGACAAAGCACTGTCTCCAAAACCCCAGAATCAAGTGGTATTTGCAGTCATTTTGTAAAGGGAATAAGTTAAGGGGCAAAGACGAAGATTACTGACCCACAGTGGAAACAGTCGACCCACTCTCATCCAGTACATCCACAGGCTCAGCCAGAAGGAGCTGCGTTTTAGGGACCACAGTGAGAATCGCAAGGACATCCAGGGCATACCTCACTGTATCACTCCTTGAGAAAAAGAAAAGCAAAAAAGGAATGTTCAGAAGTACTGATGACATTTAAAATAAACCAAGAGCAGTCTGTAAAATATTCAATGTTTGCATTAAATATAAATTGACTGCATATGCAAGAGGTTGTTTACTTTTAAGATATTAACAAAAAAAACTATGTGAGGGTAGTTTAATTTAAAAAGTAATTTAAAAGTAATTTAAAAGCAGAATCTAAGATTCAATTATATATGTATGGTAAATGTCATACGACAAAGGTACAATATAAAATGAATGACTTCAGAAATATGGGACAAAGCATTGTTAACAGAGCTACCTTCCATAGTAGGTTCTCCAATCACAGGCTATGGAGATGAGCTGAAGCATTAGCTGGATGCAGGACAGCTTGTGGAAGACCTCAGCTGGTTCCCAGTACAGTCGCACAGGGCCATACTCTATTAGAAACTCCATCATCTCTACCACCTGATCGTGGGTATATGTGCATGCCTGAAAAAACAAGATTGTAGATGGAAAAAAAGCATACACGCATATCAATCTTTTCTGATCCTCCGACACAGACATCGTAATTTAATTGATGATTTGTTTTATTTTTGATAACACTCCGTTTAAATAGCTGACCCCTGTAAAGTCCTTAAACACAGTTCACTTCCTTGCTTAAAAAGGATATAAAGATTATGACAGACCTACGTTTAATCAAAATATGGACCATCTGCTAGTTTCCCCAATTAAATATTACACAAACAAAAAATTCAGCTTTTTAAAAAAAACAAGAAACTATGAGAAGCTACGAAAACACTCTTTAAAACCTTAAGGGCCTATTAAGGTACATTATCATTTGTTTTTTAACTGGTTGCAGCATACTGCTTCTGTCCCAATTATCGACTATTTATCAGTTCTATTAAACAGCTAGGAACAGCGGGTGGAACAAAACCCCCCAAAATATTTAGGCATTCAAGGATGAGATTTGGGGTAACCATGAGCGACAATGGTAAGAGGTACACAATAAAAACACACCTTGTAGTATGGTTGTGGGTGAACAGGAGCACCTCCCTCTGTCCGCTGCAGGGACTGCTTTACCTGTTCTACTTTGATAGCCAGGTGTGCCTCAAAGTACCTGCGCAGAGCCATGCAGGTGTGCTTTGCGGTCTGCCGACTAGAGAAGATCTCATCATCACTCAGTAAGGCTCCCTGATCCTCTAGGTTCAAAATCTCCAGGGTACTCATCTGGACACAACATAAAAACACATTTCATATTTGTGTTAAAGTTTGCTATATTAACAGCTATAGGGGTCAAACTGTACATAATATTTTTATTGTCAGCTAAGACCATCATTTCTATCCTGAATTTAATGCAGATTGATGGCATTAACCATACTAAATGTTGTGGCAGTCGCTAATTCTTAAAAAAAGTAGTGGAAGAACATGTACCAAGTTCACAAGGCGCCTCAGGCCGTCCTGTTTGTCAAAGAGCTCCAGAACAGCACGGAAGGAGAAGGAGATGGAGAAGAACATGGTGGCATGGCAGCCCCCAGAGGCATGAGAGCACTCCAGCAGCCAGAGAGTGTAGCCAACCACATCTGAGAGGATACTGTGGGGAAGCATGCACACCTGCCACAGACAACAGCAAATATCAAGGGGGGGTCTCTCAGGGCCCACCACAGCAAGTGTAACAAGGAACATGGAGGAAATTAAATAAAACTGCTTACTGGTTAAATCTTCACTCCAGACAACAATTTCCTAGCTCCTTTCACAACTGAATTTAATGTAAGCACTGCTTCTGAAGAAGCACAATGCTTGTTAATTATTAAATGTATTAGACAGGGTAAACAATCTATAATTCACATACAGCAAACAATTTGCAGTGGAACTGTACATTTCAGCTTCAAAATGAACAGTTTCATTTAGATTTTGACATGACACACCTTGAAGATGTTTATGTGTTATTTCTGTTTTTTAAACAAACAGAAACAATGTCATTTTGTGCGTCTCGGTACAAGTCTACACGTTACCTGAAGATCTTTCTGTTTAGATTTTTTTAAATGTCCTATACAATTTTGATAGAAAAACCCCTGCCTTCAAAACATTAAACAGTTGCTGATCTTTCAATTTCAGACTTAAGAATATACGTTTAAACTGAAAACAAAATTTATAACATTGTAAAAAAAAAACAAGGTGTTCATAAATTATGACCATAAACTGCGGGTCTTACTCTCTCCATTGCATCTTGATTGTAGGCTAGGTAATAAAGACACAAAGAGACGCCTGTAGCAGCCATGGAGGGTCGAGGGATTTCCAGTAATTTCTGCACACCACCATGGGCTACAAACTCGGCAGCAAACTTCTTGTGAAGGAGCAGGGAGGCCAAATACTGCAGACAAAACACGCCCATAAGGAGAGGATCTCAGCACAGTGTTTTCATTATCGCTTATCGTGAAGTAGGTCATTCTTTTTTCTGCATTACTTGACTATACATTAGACTACAATTAATATTTCAGTGGACTGAGTCAAGGGGAGCTGTAAGCAGAACAATTCAGAAACTCAAATGGCTTTAACTTAATAAAGAAACAAACTACATTTTAATCAAGACAAACATCCACCCATGCTCAGAATTCCTAGTACAGAAACATGCATAAGCAATTCTGCAAGGCAGGACTACAGCCTCGACAGGATGCCAGCTCATTACAGGGCACATGAACACAATTTAACAACATGAATTAAAATATCTAGCAGGTTTATGAAAAGTAAGAGAAAACTGGAAACCTGCAGAAATCAAACCAAGAAGTTAAGAGCTGTGAGGCAGTAGTGTTAGGGACCAATACACCAACACTACCCAAATGAACAACATGTTTGTTCAAAAAGGAAAAAACTACAAAGGGACACATTTTTGTTCTTACTTGTTAGCCTGGTAAGATGTAATGCGTTATTCTACATAGCCATCTTCTAAATTATTGATTAAATAATTTGCTCTTTATCTTTATATTCAGATTAACCATTATTAATGTACTATATACTATAATATATTAATAAACTTATACATTAACTAATTGAGTAAGCTTGCATTTATTATTCCAAAAACCGTCAATAGTCAATGGAAAAGCAAATATTGAATTGCTTTTTATGGAAGAAAAATACCGAACATATCAGTGAAATAATGAAAAAAACGTAAAACCATTAATCACCATTAATAATGGCAGCTGCATGTAAAACAGGATTTTATTGTCAATTTTGCAACCATCTATTGTATTCAGACAGTACAGACAATACCTTAAGAGCCTCAAACGTTAACTGGACATCGTTGGTCTGCTTAAGATCAATGTAGTACATGAGCAGCTCCCGAGCCCCAAGTTGCATAAACACTGCCAGCAACTGTAGATAAAAATAAAAGCACCACTCTGAACAAGAGAAACTCAAGTAAAGCTTAATGGAATGAAGATAAAAGTGAAAATTCACATACCACACCGGAAGAGTATCTTCTTTTTTGTGTTTTCTATATTAATAAAAATTACATAATTTCTATTGCGATCAGCAATTTACAAATTCTTGTGACCCAAAAGAATACTTTGAAAGAAAAAAAAATGGTGGCCTACCTCTTGGTACTCCCCTAGAGGGGTTAAATATTGCAGAATCAGTCTCTGCTCTATGGCCGGGGTCAGAGGGTAAAGGTGATAGTTGGTCCCAATCACCCAGGGGGACATCTCAGACCAGCTGCTGTTGGAGAGCTCACTGAAAATCCTTTCAGGCTCCGAAATGGAGAAGTTCAGTTTCTGCTTTGCTTTCCTCCCATTCTCCCGTTCCGTCTTCTTCACAGATGTGTTCTTTTTCCCATCAGCTTCGTCCAGCTCGGGCTTGACAGTGGAGCTGACCCGGCTGCTGGTTTTGTGGCGAGAGTTCAGGTGAAATTCCACATCACTGTCTTCCAGGCCCTCTTTCTCCTCCTGACCGTCCAGAGCTGTATCATTAAATTCCCCATCCACTGCCTCCTCATCAAGGGGCAGCAATGGCTCGAGAGCCTTCCTCGGGCTCGGCCGCTTGAACTCCTGTCTGCTCTCTGCATCCTTCTCCTGGAGTTCACGTAATCGCTGCAGCATGAGGGGCACCTGTGAAGATATCGAATAACAAAAAAACTCAGCATTCATCATTTGGCAAACAAAAATATTCCATATCTAAATTCCATTTCCTTCTAGCATTTTACCTACTGTAAGCATTTATCCACACCTAAAGAAGGCTCCACAGCTGCCTCTCCTTTCTTTTCCTTTCAGCATGGAATAAACCTTTACCCATTCCTTTGCAGCCTATGCATGATGATTCAGCTACCTATGTGAACTTCTGTATCCATCACTTTTTTTGACGGTTTTTGACAGACATTTTTAAAATCACTCAACATGTGGTCAATGCCCTATTGGGGTAAGCTAAACTTTTGACATTTTGTGCTTTACAAGGGCAGCTGGAAGGAGGGTTGCACTAACCAGCAGTGAGTTCTCTTCCCTGTAGTTGGCAGCTATGTCTTGGTTCTCCATGGCTCCAGCTAGGAGCCCAGTGGCGTAGGTCCTCAGAGGCTGCTCGGCTTCCTGGGCCCACTTAAATAGCTTCTCCACAATGCCCTCCTGCAGTACCAACAGAGGTCAATGAATGACTTCTTGAATTTCTATGTCTGCTGATATAACAACCTCTTTCTTAAAAGTAAAAACGGAACTTACTTATTGGCTGGAAAGTACATTATTCATCAACAGTTTTTAACTTAACATGAACATAATACATAATGCATAATAACAGGCATAATGCATCATGCTTCTAAGAGGGAAACAAATTAAATTTTCAGAGCAATCATAAAGCAGTTCAACATTTGGTAGCAAATGAAGCACAGAACAATGCAATGCAGTGACACAATAATTGTATACTAATAATGATAACTGATGTATATAAAAAAAACAATCAGAGATACTTAAATTAAAATCTTTTGGAATGTAAAAACATTTTAATGTTGATATAGCATTAAAGGTTTATGTGTGCCATGCATGGCGATTGAGACTATGACATTCTATTCCCCAGTAATCAAAATTTAATGACCAAAAAACTGATTTGTACAGTAACTTAAAGCAAAAGTAATCTTGTGGCTGGCAGGAGGTATTCTGAAACAATACCTTTTCCTGAAACACGACAGCAGTCTCCAGACCTGGCATGATGTTCTGGAGGAGACGACAGGCAGCCGTGTTCAGAGACAGCTCACGGCTTGTCATCACATACGTGTTTACCAACTGCAAATAAGAAATAAATATCTGAACTAGATGCATCCCTAAAAAATGAAAGGTATACTTGAGCCCTGTTTTTACAGTACTTACACAGAACAAGAAAGTATAATCATTTTTTAGACCGCAGCAAAGGGTTTTTCATTCTAAATATATAGTGATGTAAAGTATACTAAGCATTAATTTCAGAGGCTTCCAACCACAGGTGACTTTACGTTTTTGAGCATTCATCTATAGACCTTACCGCATTCATAAAGTCATCATTCTTGAAAAGGATTTTAAGTAAATGTCCCAACATGCACTCTGGATCTGCTCTTCCTAAAAAGAAGCCAAAAAATAATTCAATGTTGGTAAGCTTTTTATTGAAAAAAGAAGAGGCGATGGAACCAGCGACTCACAAGTATTAGCAAGTAGTATCGGAGTATCAGCTCAACTAGGAGGCATATGAGCGTGTGGCACACACTTCATTTACTACACAAATGTTACTGAGAATTAAAAGCATGTCAACCACAACAAGCTGGACACCATGAACCACTTCAAATGAGCAGAACTCCCAAGATATTTAGTTTTAATGTTAGCAACACATCTGTAAAAGCAAGATAAATGGCTATGAAAACAATCATGAAAAAAATGTACTACTCAGATATAATTTACTTTTGATTTTATTTTCTGTAATTGTGACAGTTTTCATACACCCAGTTTACCCCACTCCCTACTCAACCATCAATTCTTAGCTAAATAATTAGTTTAAAAAGCTTCTGTAAGTTAATTGGCTGTTTTCATCAGAAACCTTAGGTATATTACAAGTTTGTACGGTAACGGCTGTTACCAAGAGCACACTCCAGAGGTTCTTTGTATTTGAGTAGAGACAAACCATAACACAACTCCACATTTTCTGCTACTTTTTACAGGAAAAATATTATGAGCATAAATTTAATGTATGTTTATTAACCCATTATATTCACACCTTATATATATTTGGTGGAAATACAAATGTATAAGGTCTTCTCCAAATCCCATTTGACCATACTTTAGATGCCACTTCTGATACAGTCACTTTGCAACGCAAAGAATCCTAAGCGATATATGTCCAGTGAAGCTTGTGGAAAACTGGTTAAGATGGTAAACTGCTGAATATGCCATAGGTTAATCATATTTAAGGAGATGCAAAGTACCGACTCACCAGGATGCCTGTCATCAAAAGGATCAGGGTCAGCTTTATGATATTCCTCTGTTTCTCGCTCAATGAGCTCAGAGATTCTGAAACAATTACACAAACTTTAACATACCCCTATCACTTTTAAGTATACATATAAGGAAGAAAAAAAAAATCAGCAGTAAAAAGTCACATTGTCCAGTCAGAAAGGTCACAGAGGACCAGTCTTTATGGTGTTTATCCTTTTAACTTGCATTACACACTTCTACAGTAAATTCAAAGTGACTACTGCAAATGATGGTTCAAGATTTAAATCCCATTAAATCTATTACTTACACAAATACTACCTACCGTAACTTGCTTTTGTTTTGAAATTAACATAAATTCGGGTCTTTATATATATATACACTTATTCCGAGATCTTTCAACACTGGGATACCATTTTTGAATCCAAATCAATCTTTTACTACCAATCTGGAATTCTAAGTCAAGGAAAAAGAAAGCATCTATATGTGCAAATTAGAATTATTAAAGAATAACTGTTAGACCTTACATCTGTGTCAAAGTGTCAAAACTGTGTAGGAACTGATCTGTTAGACAGGTCATAGCATTGATGTAATCACAGCAGTTCCATTTGTCGTGTGTAAGAAATTAAAGGTATCCTTAGAACCACAGTGGAAATATACAGTTTCTTCTTCATTCTCAATGGGGAAAACGTTCCAAGTTTCTTTATTTTATGATGAGGTTTAAAGCCTAAGGCTGACATGTTAAGTCTCTGATCGCGATATCGCGGCGAGACTAACAGTTTCCTGCTCCCTCTGCTTACTTGGTGAGAATGCTGACCAGGTCCTGTGTGCTGCCCTGCTGCTCCCTCTCCCACTGCTCCAACAGGGAGGACAGCTCTGCTTTGGAATCCACGCTGTCAGAAGCCGACGCCGATGCTGAAGCCGAAGCCATGGCCAAGCCTAGGACCGAAAAAACAAGTGGGTTTTTTTTTTCCCCCTCACTCTTACAAACAGCCTTTCATATTTCAAACCAGCACAGACATTTGCATAATTAGATAAGGAAACACAATACCACAACTACTTCATTCTTGGGACTTTCCTTTGGTACAAAAAGTTTAAACTAAGTTCTATTTAAAAGGTTTTCTCTTCTGTTTTCTTTAAAACAGGTTGTTAACCACAGAGAGTGCTCACGCAAGACATCATACAGGTAAAGGTTTATTTGTTGCAGCCTATGCATACCGACACAGTTACCTACTTAAGATATTGTACTGTACGTGACAACAAAATTAATAATCAATATCATTCCTCGACCTTGTGAAACACAAAAATGTGTTATATAGACAAGGGGAAGGCACTGAGCCTTTTTAATTCTGAACAGAGAAGGTTATCTGGAGTAATTCAAAATCCTCAAAGGCACCGACAAAGTCAACCCAACAGACTGCTTGAAGAATGAACACTGAAGCACAAACTAGAACGCACAAGTGTAAACTACATATAAGCACGTTTAAAATAGAGAACAGGAGGCACTTCTTTACGCAATGGGTTATGGGAGTACGGAACAAGTACGGACATTAATTAATGTCCACTGCTAATTGCAACAGGGTACAGTTCAAAGTTAAGAATCTAGTAGGAGATGAATGGATATACAGTAATAAACTTGAAGTTTGTCTCATTAGACCTTTCAAGTAGTCACATTAAATTCTCCACTGCCAAATTGTCCACTGAAGATTAATGAATCCATTTGAGCTCAGTTTGTATTCTTTGTTCATTATTTGTTTATTATATAGATAGATAATAAACAAAAAAAAGTATTTATTTGGCTTTTCTAAACAGTTTCTACTTAAGACAGTGTCAGGACTGACTACTGTTAAACATTTAAACTATTGCCTAACAATCTCCTCCCTTCCACCTGAAGTAACAAAACTTTACAGATGGAATTTACAATAAAACACACGCCTAAGCTCAATTTACACTTTACATAACCCCAAAAGCCTATGATATGGCTTATAACGGATTCAGGAGTTTGTCTTTCCATAAGAAATGCAATTCTGTTACCATGGAAATCTTTAAGGCGCTAAATCACACACACCAGTTGCTTCTGTTTTTATTACGCTTAAGCAAGCACATGGAAAAAAGCATAACTTAGTGGACCTCAAGTAAACATGCTTTTCTAAATATATACAGTATATTTCTGATACTGGATGTACCAACTCATTAAATTCAGGTGTTGGTCACGGTTCATTAATTTTGATCAGTTGCAACTTCCTTTATATATGAAGCAGTTACAGTCTCAACCCCAATTCAACTTTAGACTGAATAACTCATCATATGAAGAGGTTCCAAGCTGTCTACTCTCCCTGCCTGAAGTAAACAGCCACAAATCATTTCCTCATTCTGATCACCATCTGGACATCTGCACAAAATATAACTATTAACATTCAACCAGCCTCTTGGAGTCTGCCGACAGTGTCTTCAAACCAGTGAAGACACAAATGTTTGAGAAGGACCATAAGCAAGTGCCCAAATCAAAACGAAATTACTGCGGATCTTGCAGGTAATAATATTCTAATGAGTTTCTAGTTGAACACTGCAAATGATGCATACACAAAGCAGTTTGCCACTCAGTAAATTGTTTGTTATGTTTTGGCAATTTCAAAATCCATCCATCCATCTTCTATCTGCTTCTTCCATTTCAGAGTAGCAGGGGAGCCCGAGTCTGTGCCAGCAAGCTACAAGTGCAAGGCAGGATACACCCTGGATAGGACGCCAGTCTAGCGCAGGGCAAGGCACACAAACACAAACACAAACACAGACATGAGCGCACTCACACCCGGCCAATCAAACTACCAGTATGTTTTTCGGACTGGGAGGAAACAGGAGTACCCAGAGGTTACCCACACAAACATGAGGAGGGCATACAAACGTCACACATATAGCACCCCAGGTCTGGAATTGAACCCAGACCCCCAGCACTGTAAGGATGCAAAGCTAACCACTGTGCCACTCTAATTTCACAGTACAAGGCAATATTCAGTTGTTTTGGACCAAATGTAGTAAAGTAGTAAA